GGTAGCAATAAAAGATGGCAGGAGTACGTCAAATATTGAAGCAAGATGAGCCACCGGTTCGACCTTTGAAGTTATGTACAGACATGCCTATCCGTTGGAACTCTACCTACTGATGTTGGAAAAAGCTTTGCCAACCGCGAAACAAATTACAGATTTCGTCAACCGAAAGAACACATCCAGAGGAAGTTGTCAACTACAATGATTGGGCGGTTTGTGAACTTTATTCATTTCTTAAAATTTTTTATGATGCTACTAATACATTAAGTGGTATTTATTACAACTACTAATTTAGTGTTAGATATTTTAGTTCAAATTGCTAAAACTTTTGCTCAATATAGAAATGATAACATTTTACGTGAAATGTTTTAAGTATGGAAGAAAAATATAAGAGATATTGGTTAGATATTCCATTCTTATATGGTTAGGCCTTTTTCTAGATCCTATGTTTAAATTATCCGTAATTAACTGTGTAATTACTGAGTTAGGCCGGCATTTAGGATATGATTTTACTTTTATTGATTGACTTTAAACACAAATTGGATAGACTTTTTTCTTTATATCAGAAAAGATACAATGGAAGTGGAAGTGGAAGTGGAACGTCTAGGAGAGGCGATCAGGACCTTGATGCAGCCCCCCTCAAGGATCAAGCAAGTGGGCGTATGTGGAACGTGACGGAAGCTCCAGCTGTACATACATGGACCAAATGAGCTGACTCGCTACCTACAGGTGGACCTGACCTTTATGACGATGAAGGAGCAACTTGATATGGAATTCTTCAATGGTGGAACCAACATGAAAGTCGATTCCCCTATATCCCAAATAGCACGTGACATTTTATCTGTGCCAGTTTCTACAATGCATCCGAGTCAACATTTTCAACGATGGTCGGATTGTTGAAGACAGAAGATGTTCTTTAACCGATGAGATGATTGAAGTGATAACGTGTTTACGGGATTGGACTCATGCAGAAAGAAGACTACAACAGCACCCTGAAGATCCCGAACTATTCGAACTCTTTAGGAATGCAGATTTGAATAATGTAACTAGTGTTGACGATGAAATTGAAGATGAATAATTTAATAAAAAAATTATTTAATTGTTTATTTGTGAAGCGTGAATGTGTGAAATGTGAATATACATTGTTAAAAATAAAATTAACTATTAATTTATTATTTTCAAATTAATTAAATTTTTAGAAACTTCTAATAAACCCCTACAAAATACTAAAAACCCCCTATAAAACTTCATTTCGCCCCTAAAATAAAACAAGATTGGGGGGGGGGGGGGGAATTATCCAAGCCCATAAGACCGGTCCTGGGCCCATAGGACCAGTCCCGACCAGGCCTAGGGCCTGGTCCGGGTCCTGGTTTTTCTTATGGGCCTGGGACCGGTCCCAGGCCCATGAGTGACTGGTCCCATTTGGGACCAGTCCCAAACGGGCCCAGGCCTGGGCCCATAAGGGACCTGTCCCTGCCCAGCTCTATGCAGGATCCAAACTTATAATTTCAAAAACTTTAAGAATTTATTCGGAAATTACACAATCTAAACATATTTATAGGGTGGAAGCTTCCAAAAGGTGTTTCATAAACATTTATCATTTACATCAAGATAAAAACATCAAGATGACAATAAATCATCTCCCCTCATGTGTAGCCCCGTTGTCTCTAGCATCCTTCGCTTCTGGTCTACTTGCAAAGGAATCAACAATGAAAGGGTGAGCGCTAATCGCTCAGTAAGGAATTATCCATTTCATTCTAAATGTGCTATTTGACCTTTATTTTAACATATTTGTTAACACACCACTTATCTTTTACATCTAGGTATACTTTTTTTGTTTTTGTTTAATTCATATATTTTTCATCATTTTATCCCATGGCTATATAAACATCAATGTTTACAAATACAAATAAGTATGTAAACATAGTACATACACATCACATGTCATGATATAACATCTAAAATCATCTAACATGAGTATAAATCATCTCATGATGTAAATAGCATAATAACTCATGTAATGCAACTAAATGCATATGAACCATTTAACATCTAGCCGATCGGACTTTTCTTAGTGTCTTAAGCACTTCATATCATGTAGCCTCAAATTCATCTATAGCTCATATCATTGGGAGGTGTGCTTACGCGTTATTTAGCATCTAAAGCATATATTCATCTTTCCTTAACCGGTATACGAAAATATGCTTATGCGTTTTCCATCATGTCTATATGCATCTCTAACATCTTATGACATGTAAATACATATTTTGGTGAGCTTAATACTTTTAATTCATCTATGGATTATCAATCCATTTACATTACCGCTTGCTCACATACCTCATCTTAAAACATGTATTACATTGCATCTTCATGTCATTTTATAACATTAATCATGCATTGACATCATAATCATGTATATCTTTCAAAGATCATCTAACTAATAGATAAACATTAGCACATGACATAATTACAATAATACAGTAATAATCAATTCATAATCATAAGAATTGATCATGTTAAATCTTAAACTTTAATAACCAGAAGTTTATATTTCCGACCATTTTCCATCCATTTTTAAAACGAAATGGCTCTTGGCATAAACATAAAAGTTGTAGGGCTATCTCTTAAATTTCTGGTGCTTTAAGAATCATCTCATTTTGATTTTTATAATGCAAGTTATGGTTGAAATACTGAAACATATTTAACATAATCCCTAAGCTTACTAAGTCTGAATTTTTCATATTAAACTATGCCACATCAATTCCTATTGATAATTAACCAATAGATCAACTTATGGATCAAATAAACCTCCCCTTAATAGTCTTTAACATCTTAAAGAAAGTGTAAAATCTCATTCCCATAATCATCAATTATTGTTATAATATTATAAACTAATGCAAACAACACATCAACACTTCTAATAGCAATCATTCAACACCATGTGGCCTCCAATACTACAAGTTTTGCCAGAATCAACATCAATACTTCATTTTCTTCAATTAAGCATAACAACTCATAAAACATAAATTCAATAACTTCATGTATAATGAATTCAAGGCAATAAATAATATGAATGAGTTCAACTACACTTGTCATCAACTAATTCTATGCCTTAAAGCCTTAATTTAAGGTTTCATAAAAATCTACAAACCGTAGCATAATCCCTAAAGTCATGAGAGGTTCTTCCTTACCTTTTTAAAGAATTCCTCCAACAAATCCTTTGCCTTTGTCTTCTTTTACACCTTAATCCTACATGTATAACATTATACTTCAACATCTACTTCAAATATTCAAATCATATCAAAACTAGGGTTTTTAATCCTTACCTTAAACCCTTCAACTTGAAGATCCAAGGCTGCTATCTTGTTCTCCTTGAAAAATTATGTAAAACTCCTTTAAAACTTAGAGAGAGAAGACTTGTTTCATGGAAGATTTGAGAGAAAATGGAAGAAAGATTGAAGAAATGCTCTCTCCCTTGGCTTGAACGAATTTCCTCTCATTTATAGGAAAATATTTCATTTATTTTCCAAAATTATACTGTTGGCCCAATTATTTTAATTGTATAACTCATAAATCCTTAATTCTTCATATAAGGGCATTTTGGTCATTTCGTACTAAACATAATTATTACTTAATTAATGCCATTAAATGCAATTAAGCCTACTCATCCTTGACTTTTTTAATGCTTATCCATAGGCAAAATCACTATTTTTCCCCTAATGCCTTTCTATGGATAATTGATTCATATCGTTCTAAATGAATTGACTATTTTGCCCTTAGTTAGATTTTATGCTTTTTAACATAAAATTAACATCTAAAGGACTGTTTTGAGTTAGGAACATACCTTTGACATCTTGGGTATTACAGACACTAGTGTGATGTCTGTCGTAGGCACTCCGACGCTCAAGTCAGTAAGGCTGAATATGACAATTTGGTGAGGGTAAGGAGATGAGGGGTTACCAGAGGCCAAGTCGGAGACTAAAACCACGGTGTAGTAGGATAGCTCTTAGGAGTAAGAGCGTGGGTGTAGGTAAGTAATGTTGAGGCTACATGCATAAACATGCGAGTGGCCTCTATTTATATAGTAGTTGTAGGATCTTTGTATCTTGATAGGACTTTGAATCCTTAAGGGAAGAGGTCTCGTGAATAGGAAAGAGCATGATTCATTTGACTTAATAGTAACAAGAGTCCTAATATGCCTAAGATTCAGAATCTTGGACGAATTAGGATAAAGTAAAACAGGAAACACGCTACTTACCTTAGTCTGGAAAGCCTAGCCTTAGGTGGGCCGCTGGAGTCGCCCATTTTGGAGGGAAGTTGGATCTGGAGGTCGCAGTTCGGCCTAAGTCATGAGCTCTGATGTTGATTCAATCGAAATTGGATCGCAAGGTTAGGCCGATGTTGTGGAACATTCTTGTCTGGGCCTAATAAGGCCTCATATGGTTTTAGACCTCCTCAATATGTCAAAATATATAGGATTACCATATGAATTTATAAGGAATAGTTTGTATAATTAGTTTTTTTTTTTAATGTAATATTATTCTTATTTATTTTATTTGATTATATTTAAAAAACCTGAGTTGATGGAGTCACAATTGGGCCTCATTGGGGTTGGAGGCCCAGCCCAAAAGTAGCTTTAAGTAAAATTTTATTTAGATATATTCGTCTTAGTATTAGTTGAAGCGCACTTAGACAATTTTTTTTTTTTTTTTTTTTTTTTTTTTTTTTTTAAAGTAGTATAACATTTAAGATATATATAAAAAATTCACAATAATAATATACAAGCTAAATAATGTAATAATTTGAAATACAAAACTTAGCTAGATAAAAATCTTTTTGAGTGGTTCATGACTTCATGCCATTTTCTTTCAAGGTTCCTGTGTAGAATACTGGGTGGCCAGCGAAAAAATAATTTAATAATTGACTGGCATTCTTGTTGACTTAAAAGTCTTTTTTATGTGATTTCACAAAAACAACCTTTCATTCTCCTCTCCAAGAAACACTAGTGAATACTCAACTCAGTCATCAATGGCATCTTCCTCTCGCGGTCAAGGCAAATATGATGTGTTCTTGAGTTTCAGAGGCGAAGATACTCGTAAGAACTTTACCGATCATCTCTACGCTGCTTTACATCAGAAAGGAATCTTCACATTCAGAGACGACGAAGAACTCGAGAGAGGAACGGAGATTTCATCGGAGCTCTTGAAAGCCATCGAAGAATCGAGATTTTCGATTGTAATTCTCTCAGAAAACCATACTTCTTCCCCGTGGTGCTTGGACGAGCTTGCGAAAATTGTTGAGTGCATGGAGGTGAAGAAGCAGAAGGTTTTTCCCGTTTTTTACGGCGTAGATCCATCGGAAGTACGGAATCAGACCGGAAAGTTTGAAAAAGCTTTTCGTCAACATGAAGAAGAGATCGATGAGGAGAGAATTGAAAGGTGGAGATCAGCTCTTGGTCAACTTGGCAAGGCCGCTGGTTATCATTTGCAGGACAGGTACGAAGAGAAGTAGATGAATTTTTATTTCTATGTTTTGAGTATTTTTATACATAATTTTAAATTATATTGCTCACATCCACTATGATTAAAATTCTTTTGAGTTATTTTAATAATCAATTTAAATTCATAATTCAAAAAAAAAAAAAAAAAAATCAATATATTGAATACAAATTTAAAATTAATTTCTTGATTAATAAAGAATATGATAAAAAAGATGAGATAAAAATTTTATGGGCTTTATGACATATTAAAAATATCAATAATGAATTTTTTTCCCATAAATTTAAAAAAAAAAAAAATTTCATGGTATAAAATTTCAATAATAGTGTTTTAAGTGACATCGAGCAAGTGTGACCTATTGAAGGATATACAGAACAAGAGGTTAACTGAGTTGTGTTAGACCTCTGTAACGGCAACCCAAATATTCGAGAAGAATATTTGACTTGGCTAGATGTAAAGCAACTTTTGGATGTTATCCAAAAGGCTTTTAGTCAAGGATGCACAAAGATTTTGTGTTTTATTTGTCGGATTTCAATCATTGAAGTTGCCGAGCTGGAACTTCGGAATAAGTGGTTGGAAAAAACTGAGGCGGTAATTCCTTATTGGTACGGCGAATCCCAGCCGGATCCAGATCCTGAACCTATAAAGAGTCGGACTTTGCAACTGAGTTGAACGTGATTCAGATTGACCATGGGTGGTCAGGATGTTTTGGATCGGTTTGCAGCCATTCTGCAAGAAAAATACCCTGGATTGCCTCCAGGATATGCACAGTTCGTAGCTAAGGAAACCCAAGGTGATTGGGAAAAGGCGGAAAAACTCTTTATGAAAGGTGTTAAGGATGAAGACTTTATTTCTAAGGTGGATGGAAAACGGAAGGTTGATATTTCAGAAATTTCTACCTTGGATGCTGAATGAATCAGCAGGTATTATGAGGAAGAAATGAAGAAACAAAGGAAATGAGAAGAAACTGGAGGATCGAAAATTACTCCAGGTCCTAAAAAGGTGGAGCTCGATGAACTAATCTCGAGACTTAGGGAATCTGAGTTTAAGGATGATCCCCTTGAAGGAATTCGTAATCCTTCAAATTCTTTCGAAGGATTCCTTAAGGAAATCTCCAAACCCGAATATAAACCTACTTATCCCACAAGGATAAGGTCAAAATTTATACCTGGGGGAATACCTAGAATGGTAAAGATACCGTCTAGCGGAAGTTTCCTAAACATCGATTGTGTTACAAATGTGGCGAATGCAATCGAAGCATGGGAAACTACTAACTGGGTTCATGTGCAAAATAAGAATTTTGGACTCAGTGATACTTACATGTTTCTAAGATCCACACTGTAGGGAGCTGCAGAGAGCTTTTGGAGAAGTCTAAAAGCTGGTACGGGTCTGTTAGATACTGTAAGGGACTTGAAGAATGCAGAGGCTATTTTTGCACTCTTCAAGGATATGCTCTGTAGAGAAATTACTGGGATAACTATTACTAGTAGGAATCTCGCAGAGGTAGTTGCCTTAGAAGCTTTGACAAAGCTTAGGCTTTGTGACATGTGTCTATTTGAAAATTTCGTCTGTGAATATAGACGTTATTTTTATCATTTGCCTGGTGGTACACAAGAAGTCATGAAGAATACTTTCTTTGCTAAGCTTCCCCAAGAATGGGATAAGGCATCAAACGAGGCGTTTAAGCTTCTACTTGAAAAGAATTAGGTTGTTGATTCTTTGGGAGGAAGAATAGAAGCTATTAGACAACTCGTGAGGACAAGATGTTTGAACGCCGAGTTAAATAAAGAAGCAAAAAGACTTGAGTTCAACGAATTCTTGTTGTCAAAACTTTGATGGAGTGTCAGGACAATATGATTGTGAGTCAAGGAATTCGACTAAACATCAAGGTTGGAAAACCCATATGAAATGAAAAGGATCGTTCGGTAAAAGGAATTTTAAGCCGAAACGTTTTCGTAATATGGTAAAAAGACTTGTTACTAATAAACGAAATCTTCCGGATCATGGAAGGTTTATTAGGTGAACAGGGAAAGGTAGACTTAACGCTAAAGAACGCGAAGTGCGTAAGTTTTGTGCTACCTGCCCATCTGGCAAAAACGCAAAAGATTGTAATTGTTGCTGGATTTGTGGTGACAAAAATCATTTTGCGGACAAATGTCCTCATAAGGGAAAGAAGAAGGTAGCGGTATGATTTTTGGAAATCAACGCGGAAAGCCAAACTTCTGAATTTGAGCCAGTTTGGGGATACGAAATTGATTCGGATGATGAGGTTTATGAATTAATTTTGAATTACTCTAAAGATTCAGATTCTTCAGAGGATGACTCAAAAGATATTCCTTTTGAGGAACAATCTTCAAATCTTCAACACATAGGTATATTCATGCAAAAGGCTAGTAGTCTTAATGAATATCCTAGAAATAGCAGAATTGGTAATGAGGATGATCTTATCCCAATTAGAAATGAAGATGAAAACCCACAAATATTATTGCAATTAATCACTAAACAAACTAGTTAATTAATTGGAGAGAAAATACATAGATCCAATTTTAATTCATACATGGGTATCAATCTACTTGAATGAACCTTTCTCTTTGCTTTGAGTTTGCAATTTAAAAGTAAATAAGAGATTGAGAGAATGAATTTTTCTCTAAGTAAAAATATACATGAGCTTCTCTTTATATAGAGAAGTCCCGGATTTCAAATGAATTGAATCTGTAGGATAAAGAAAAACAAAAGTCTAAAGATGTACAAAAGTCTTAGTCATTAAAGATGACTTGATTAATAACCTAATAAAAATTAAAGACAACGACATGGGGGTCCACATGTCTCTCATGTGTCTTACAAAAAATATATTACAAACAACTAAAAATACAAAAGATAAAATATAATTACTATAGAAGTCAACATCCAATGCCTTTTTAAATTTGGGTCGTTGAAATCTATCGGCAAAATCCTGGATGTCCACGTATTATTTTCTGCTTATTTGATACACGTCAGCGTATTACGTGTTGGACATTTTCGGTTGTCCAAATCTCCAACCTCTTAGATTCGCATCAACCTTTGAAGTTATCCACTTCTATCAGATCGATAAAATCCTTCAGAGTTTCATCTTCTTGTTGGGCTTCCTGGTAGTGGGCTAAGACCATCCTTAGAAGATCAATAGTACCTTCCATCAAGGCCTGTTTTGGTAGATGGGCTAAATCAAACCCTTCTAGTAGCGTTCTTAACTGGGCGTGGTTATGTTGAAAGAGAGTTTCCTGGATCACTACATACCTGTCTGGTATTACTATCATTATCCCATTATGGACATGGACATGGACATGGACAGTAGCATTTGCTTTTACAAGCTCTTCCAGTTTGGATTTTACTAGTAGCATTTTGGCAATATGCAACCTCGTCCAATCATCTTCTTCTTTCCTCTGAATTTCTTCTAGTGCATAAGAACCCATTTTTACCTCACTATTTAACATAATTCGGTACCATGGTTCTCCTACAAGAAATTTCCATATCTGTACAGGCTGAACATTGTAGCTCTCTTGCAATGAGGAAGTAATCATGCAAGTGAATATGTCGACTTTCCGATTCAATACACAGAGCATTTGCTTAACCACATCTGGCATATTCGGGTCCACCATTGCTTCATGTACGTCAATTTCCATTGTATCAATCCATCCTCTATTCAAAAGATCTTTGCAATAACCTTTTCTAAAGAGTTTCCATGGAACGAACAATTCCATAACTCCATTAGGATAAACTGCTAACCCTTGGCCAAGTCAGTGGACATCCAGGATTTTGCCGACAGCTTTCAACGACCCAAATTTAAAGAGGCATTGGATGTTGACTTCTATAGTAATTATATTTTATCTTTTGTATTTTTAGTCGTTTGTAATATATTTCTTGTAAGACACATAGGAGACATGTGGACCCTAATGTCGTTGTCTTTAATTTTTATTAGGTTATTAGTCAAGTCATCTTTAATGACTAAGACTTTTGTACATCTTTAGATATTTGCTTTTCTTTATTTTACGGATTCAATTCATTTGAAATCTGAGATTTCTCTATATAATGAGAAGCTTATGTATATTTTTACTTAGAGAAAAATTAATAATATTTTCAGTTTGTGAAAAATTCATTCTCTCAATCTCTTATTTACTTTTAAATTGCAAACTCGAAGCAAAAAGAAATTTTCATTCAAGCAGATTGATACCCAGGTATGAATTAAAACTAGATCTATGCATTTTTCTCTTCAATTAATTAACTAGGTTGTTTAGTGATTAATTGTAATAATATTTGTTATACCGGTATAACAAATACTATGTGGGTGACTTAAAATAAAAGATCTATTAAACGAATTAATGTAAATGATGTGCAAAAAATATATAGAATTATCATATTGATTTGTAAGAAATAGTTTGTATAATTAGTTTTTTAATGTAACATCATTTTTATTTATTTTATTTAGCAGATAACATTTGGAATAAATTATATTTAAGATACCTGAGTCGGAATCACAATTGGGCCTCAATGGGGGTTGGAGGCCCAGCCCAAAAGTAGCTTTAAGTAAAATTTTATTTTAGACACATATAAATCTATTTAAGATATGTGAGAACAAATAAAATTTATAAAAATGCCCTACAACAGGTTACAGTTGGATTAAATTGTATAATGTATACTGGGTTATTTTTAGGATTATGAAGATTAAAATTGATTATGAATAATTTAAACCTAGGTGAATACTTAGAAAGGGGCAAATAAGTGATGTGATACTCTTGAAAATATAAAAAATTTTTTTAATAAAAACCAAATTAAAAAAAAATTAAAATTTTCAAATAATTTATTAACAAATATTTCCTTAAGTATATTTTCACTAATTAATCTAGTTAATGAGCTTAAGTGAACCTCTGTCTAGGCTTGATTTAATTTCACTTTCTTTTCTTTATTGACATCTTGGTACTGACTAGAATAAAAACATATTTGTAATTCATGATTTTTTAGTATGAAATTTTGAGTATTATATTTTTATAGCATTTATAAAGAAATAATTATTGATATATCTACAATGCTCTTTAAATATTAATAATCCTGAAGAGCTCCCTCTCACATAAACTTATAGGTCCACCAGAGTTGTTTGGAACCGTTTTTATTGTTTGCTTATTTACCTATAAGGTTTCGAAAAGCAAGTTTAGAGCAAATTAAAACTTGCCAAATTGATCATTTTTCCTCTCTGTATTACTCTTCTTTTCAGACATGAATCGCAATTGATCAAACAAATTGTTGAGGAAATATCAAAACAATGAAAACCAGTTAGTACCAATAAGGGTCTTTTTGGAATGGAACCTCGTGTGCAGCGTTTAATATATGATTATTTACAAACAGAACTGGATGATGTTCGCTTCATTGGCATATGTGGGATGGGAGGAATAGGTAAAACTACAATTGCTAGAGTTTTATACGAGACACTTTCGGATCAATATGAATGTAGCAGCTTTGTTGCCAACGTTAGAGAAGTCTCTGGATCAATAGGTCTAGCTCCTTTGCAAAAACAACTCCTTTTTGAAGTCATAAAAGAAAGAAATTTATAAATAAGCGATTATCATCAAGGAATCAATTTGATAAGTAGTCGGCTTTGTAGGAAAAGAGTTTTTCTTGTTCTTGATGATGTTGATCAATTAGAACAATTGGAAGCATTGGCTGGAGAGCATGAGTGGTTTGGTTCTGGTAGTAGAATCGTCATCACAACTAGAGATCGACATTTACTTGTAAGCCATGGAATAAAAGATATACATATATATAAGGTTGAAGGACTGAAACATGATGAAGCTCTCAACCTGTTTCATTCAAAGGCCTTCAAAAACAAGAAACCCTCTTATAAGCATGTTTGGCTCTCCATGAGTGTCGTAAGTTATACGCAAGGACTTCCATTAGCTCTTGTAGTGTTGGGATCCTATTTGTGTAATAGAAGTTTAGAGGAATGGACAAGTGCCTTGGACAGACTACGGGAAGTTCCAAATGAAAGAATTGCAAAAGTGCTAAGAATAAGTTATGATTCCCTAGATCAAATAGATAAAAGAATATTTTTAGATATCTCATGTTTCTTTATTGGGAAAAACAAAGATATGAGTCATGGAAAAACTAGATGGTTTTGGTTTTAATTCAGCCATCGGAATAAAAGAACTCGAACAAAAATCTCTAATAACCATCCGAAATAATGAATTGTGGATGCATGATTTGATACGAGAAATGGGTTGGGAAATTGTTCGTGAACAACATCGTGATAACCCTGGAAAATGGAGTAGGTTATGGCTTTCTAAGGATATCTTTCATGTTTTGAGAGAAAATATGGTAAGAAATTTTTTAAGAGAATGAATTATATACCATTATTTCAATATATGGCAGTTCATCAAGGTAACTTCTCTATTAATATTCATTTATTTATTTTTATTTTTTGAAGGGAACTGATGCAGTTGAAGGAATGATACTGGACCAGCCTGAAGTTGAAATTATAAACTTGAATGGTAAATCCTTGTCTAAAATGAACAATTTGAGACTGCTCAAAATCAGTAATGTACACATTTCGGGAGACCTAGAGTACCTCTCAAATGAGTTGCGATTTCTGAAATGGCATAAATATCCTTCAAATTCTTTGCTAACATCTTTGGAACGGAATAAAGGTATACATATTCAGTAATGCTCAATCTCTCTGAATGCATATCAATTATTAAGTTATGAAATCAATTTTTTGGTTCTTGTAGGCTTTTGAGAAGTTGAAAAGCATGAAGCTTAGTCACTCTTACAATCTGATTAGAACACCAGACTTCACACAAATTCCGAATATAGAGAGCCTTGATCTTGAAGGGTGTATAAGCTTGCTTGAGGTTCACGAATCCGTTGGACTGCTCACAAAGCTTGTGCTTTTAAATTTGAAAGACTGCAAAAATCTTGTGAGTTTCCCAAGCAGCGTCTGTGGTTTGAAATCTCTCAAGAATCTGAATCTATATGGCTGCTCGAAACTCGAAAAACTTCCCCAGAACTTGGGGGAAGTCGAGTGTTTGGAGGAGCTAGATTTAAGTGGGACTGCAATAAGAGAACTGCCACCCTCTATTACTCTCTTGACAAATCTTGAAAAGCTGTCTCTTCGTGGATGTAATGGGCAACAAAACAGTACATGGACTTCTTCCATCTGGTCATTGCTTGTGCCGAAAAAATATCAAGATTCAATGTGTTTATCGCTGGCTAATTTGATAGGTCAGAAGTCTCTTAGAACATTAGACTTGAGTGATTGCAATCTTTTGGAGGGAGCAATCCCCAATGATCTTTCTTCCTTAGTCTCTTTAGAAACTTTAGATTTAAGCAGAAACCATTTTGTTAGCCTACCATCAAGAATGAATCAGCTTTCTAAGCTTAAAAATCTTTCAGTGAACAATTGCCAGAGGCTTGAGTCTTTGCCAGAGCTTCCATTTGGAATAATATTTATTGGGGTACAAGCCTGCGTTGCATTGAAAACATTCTCAAGTCCACTAAGTCCAACTAGTTCTGCAAACATCTTGTTCCAGTTTTTCAATTGCTCCGAACGGGTCACAGATCAAGGCAGCACGACCAACATCACGTTGGCAGTTATGTTCCTGAAACTACGGCTTCAGGTCAGTCTCTTCTTGCATCCGTCCCTAATTACTTAGAATACTTTGTCGATTAAAGTTAATAATTTGTATATCTAGAGCTACATTGATCTACATATTTACATGCAGGAACTCTCTAGTCAATCTGCTCAATTTCATATTTGCCTTTCTGGTGGTGAGATTCCAGAGTGGTTTAGCCANATTACTCTCTTGACACATCTTGAAAAGATGTCTCTCCGTGGATGTAATGGGCAACAAAACAGAACATGGACTTCTTCCATCTGGTCATTGCTTTTGCCGAAAAGATATCAAGATTCAATTTGTTTATCGCTGGCTAATTTGATGGGTCTGAAGTCTCTTAGAACATTAGACTTGAGTGATTGCAATCTTTTGGAGGGAGCAATCCCCAATGATCTTTGTTCCTTAGTCTCTTTAGAAACTTTAGATTTAAGTAGAAACCATTTTGTTAGCCTGCCATCAAGAATGAATCAGCTTTCTAAGCTTAAAAATCTTTCATTGAACAATTGCCAGAGGCTTGAGTCTTTGCCAGAGCTTCCATTTGGAATAATTTTTATTGGGACACAAGCTTGCGTTGCATTGAAAACATTCTCAAGTCCACTAAGTCCAACTAGTTCTGCAAATATCTTGTTCCAGTTTTTCAATTGCTCCGAACGGGTCACAGATCAAGGCAGCGCGACCAACATCACGTTGGCAGTTATGTTCCTGAAACTACGGCTTCAGGTCAGTCTCTCCTTGCATCCGTCCCTAATTACTTAGAATACTTTGTCAATTAAAGATAATAATTTGTATATCTAGAGCTATATTGATCTACATATTTACATGCAGGAACTCTCTAGTCGATCTGCTCAATTTCATATTTGCCTTTCTAGTGGTGAGATTCCAGAGTGGTTTAGCCATCGGAGTCATGGAGCCTCAGTAAGAATCCAACTACCTCCACACAAGTACAATGATAACTTCATGGGATTCATTGTTTGTTTAGTGTTTTCACTGTCTGATTATTCAGATCAAATAAGTGAGGAGTCGCGACAGTTCTTCCAGATTCGATGCTTGTTAGAGATTAAATATATAGTTTCTTTCTCTTTCACATTTCTCACCCCTAATTCCTCAATTGTCGAGTCTGATCACCTTTGGCTAGGGTATATTTCACATACAGAGTTTGAAGGTATTTCAATAAGGAAAAGTTGGCTTCATGACATTAAAGCAAGCTTTAAAGTCTATGGACATGGTATGCAAGGATGCAGTGTCTCTGTGAAAAGGTGTGGAATTCATCTTCCTTACAAATAGGAAAACAGAATAAGATAAATTTGGAGACATAGTTTATATATTTTTATGGGATAACTCTTGAATTATTTCTTTAGAGATTTTAAACATCATTAGCATACTAGTTTTGACATAAATCCTCCGATTTAATGATGCTGATTATCATTTGTCATGATGCTAACAGTTTCCTTTCAGTATTTGTTAACAACTGTGACAAACATATGGATTCTTGATTTGATTTGTTAATACTTAGATATGTTATGATAGAAATTGGTTTATTTTAATGTCTAAAAATTTGATGATTCTTTGTTGTTTTTTTAATCAGAATAGGTACAACGAAGAATAGTAGATACGATGTGATAGCATAACTAATTTGACTTGTCCATCTCCTTCAATTTCAGATTCTTATATAGGAGTTCCTAGCTATGGGTGGTTATTTTAATACCTTAGGTTTAGGTTTTGTTAAGGTAAACATATTATGAAAGGATCTTGGTCAATTGTTGGGACCCAAAGTTGAAATTTTGGAGAAATAATGCACTAATTTTTACTTATAATTCACTAAATTTACCTTGTTCTAGAATATAGATAATGTTATTGTGATATTGGTTGATGATGGTGCTTTGCGGTCTATGGAGGCCTCTCACTTTTGATTTTTTTATTAAAATTTTTGTTTAATTGTTTTTTTTTTTTTTTTTTTTTTTAATATGTTGAGGAAGAAATGAGTTTTCTAGACTAACTCAAACCCACTCCAAGCCCAACAAGTTCAACCCAACATCGACCTAAATTTTTATGGGTCAAGCCCAGTTGAGTTGGGATGGGGAAGACCCAGCCAGCCCAATGGATTCTTTTATCATCTGAACTAAAAAGTTCATTTCATTTTCATTAAAAAAAAAATAAAAAATGTTATATTATTTGAACCCTACGTAATCAATTTTTAAAATTTAAAACTAAATCTTTTTACATTGAAAGTTATATTAAAAAAAATATATTTGAACATTAATAATATTATTGTGATTCGTGAGATGCCAAAGCATTTATTTAAATTCTTACATATTTTAATTGTAAATTTTCTTCTTTGTAATGCCTTTAATATATTAATAATTGTTTTATTGGTTTTTTGAGAAAACCGGAAATGGGGTTTTCTTTTTTATATATTTAAGAAAATAAATCTTGTTTGTTGTTCAAAACCAATGAGACACTGACTTACTCATGACTAAGAAAAAAGAAAGGAGAATAAAGAATAAAGAGTTTGTCTACAACTACGAAAAAAGCAAATATGACCAAAATCAGTGATGGAGTCAAGATTTTGTCGCAACGGGGGCAAGCGAAAATTTCAAATATTATCATCCATGAAAAGTTGTTAATAAACCTTTGTACACAAAATAATTTTTGTATTTACTTTATAATAAATTAAAATACATTTGATATTCCAGAAGAACAAAATAAAATAAGAAATGGTGATTGCTTGGACTCATTGTTTTAAAAGCCAGATCGGAGGGCAACTGCTCTGCTGCCCGAGTCACGGTTCAACCGATCTAACCAGTTAGACCGTCGGTTGGACTGGTGACATCATCAGACATTATAATGATGTCAGCATATTTTTTAAATTTTTTTTTTTTTTTTTAGATTTCTATTTTTTAAGAAGACAATAACAACTTAATTACTATCAAACATAATTCAAAGTTCAAATTCAACAATAATCTCAATATAATTTAAGTATTTAACAACAATCCAAAGTCTAAATCTAAACATAATGTTGTATTTATATATTAAATGATAAAATACATAATAAGTAAGAATATAATTCTCATATTAGACGCCACTGAACATAAAGGTAATCAAACTATAACTTGATGATGAAATTTCTGAATCAAGGTCAGAGAATATAACCAAAATATGGCAGGGACAACATTCCAAAATCAAATATACTCGAAAGGTGGGATTTACAATAGAAAGAATAATAATTTCATTCAATAAAATGTATGAACAATTAAAATACAACACTTCAGCATACACACGAGATTATGAAAATCATGTTGACAAAAATTGTTGGTTTACAGTTTACACACTAAATTTTATTTGCACCTTTGCCGTGAAAAACTAGGGGATCCTGTTGGTTGTGCACCTCTGTAATTTCTACTGGTAGAATCCATTGCTCCGTAGGGTCTGCTTGATTGAACCTCGGAAGGACGCGTATGAGGCTTTAGCTGATTCTGGCAAAGAGTCCATCGAAATCGACACCACGAAGCATGCAACCAAGAACTACAATACACAAACCTCAACCACTTAATCTGGAAACCATAAATCATCAAAACAAATGATATGAACATGATCAAGGCTCGAATGAACACAAAAACCAGATCTTGATCACAAAAATCACAGCTTTCTGACTAGACCAAGCATTGATCCAAAGCAACAACGTAAACCCAGATACATAAAGCAAGATCACAAGGTAAAAGAGTGAGAACCCATCAAGAAAAACACAAGAAAACTAAAAAAAAGGGTATGCGATTTCAATGATCAAAACTGCAAAAGCTTTTCCTGGATCGAGAAATGGAGTTGTCGTCAACGAATGGAGCTGTTGCCGTCGATTGCTAGGGAGGAACGGAGCTGTTGTCGTCAATTTCCGACGAGGGAGGAAGACGTCATCGATTTCCGGCGAGGGAGTTCAGTTGCGACTTGGTGAATGCCAAATTTTGCAATTTCAGACTTAGGGAGTGGAGTTGATTGCGATTTGAGTGGGATTTCAGAGATAAATTTTCGAAGAGAAGCTGAGAAATCTGAGAGAAACTAAGAAAGAGAAGAAGCTGAGAAACAGAGAAAGGAAATCGATGGAATGGGCTGCGATTAGGGGTTTTTGAAATCATACCGGTTTATCCGCCGATCCGGTTGGACCCACGGTTCATTGACTTTATCCGAGTTTTGACTGGGTTAAAGCGGCTTAATGACCAAGAGATAGAATTTTGTTTTAACTAGATTAGATGGATTTGAGATGATCACGTATAATATGTTACATAATTAGTTTTTTTAGTGTTTAAAAACTGAATAACCAACATTTAACCTCTTTTTAAATGTAAAGAAATAAGAACCACATATGTGAAGTAATGCAGTTAATTAATTATTCTAAGTATAGTTAGGATTATGTTATATATACATGTTCATTTATTCTATCATATTCATCATCAAATAGAGTTGTTGATCATCACAGTAACGTAGTATCTCAATTGATAATGGAAAGCTCAATGGTGAAGATTGTCGTCTTGAAGATGATAATAATGGTAGTTTTAATTGTTGGTACATTGATTGAAATAAGTGAGGCTGGAGTTCCATTGTGTTGTAGATACAATCCAGAATGCTGTGAGAAGCTCTTATCTCATCCCGCTGTCAAATTCCCTACTAATAATTAATTAACTTCATGTTATGTAATTTTATATTATTAATGCTCGTATGTATGTATAATGGTTGTGAGGAAAATCTTACAACCATGTAATATTTGATGTTACACCACATTAAATGTATTTATATTAAGTGATGTAATTTCTTTACTTAATATATATATATATATATATATTAACATCTATATTGTCTATAATAGTTTGCATTGTTACTCAATATATATAATCTCTTTTGAATCAAATCCAGATAGATTAGCTGTTTTTGTTAACGCATTCTTCCATCTCAACACCTTCTCTTCATCATGCTTCCTAACATCTGACGGATCCACGTGATAAAAAATTGGCATTACAATCATATCTCTCAATTCTTTGTATTCAATGATCTTTTCAAGTTCTTCAAGGCATCATCTAGACGTGACATGCCCTTCCAGAAGATAATGACTTGATGGCATTCAAAAGTGTTTTTGAAATTTCATCTCCTCTTTCATGATCACAACTATAAATAAACTCAAAACTATATAGAGATGACTTGTAAAGTCATCACTTGTATCCTCACCTCTCAAACTAAGAAAAACATGATATTTTTTTCCTTTTCTCTAGTGTAATATTTAAAATTTAAATGCTTCTTTTAGTGACAGTATGCTCTCTTCGCCTGATTAATTTTTATCAACCTTCACGGCAAAACGTAGTATTTATTTTCTTCAAGTTCCCACAAATCACCATTGCCAAGCTTGTAAGAACTCCTCGTGTGTTAAATTAGTCCTTGTTCCTTTGTTTACAGAAAATTGTAAATTAAAATGACTTATGTTATAGATTTTATTAATAATTTGTATCTTACATGAAAAGAAAATAATTTTGGATTCGTTTGGTTCATTATTCTGATACTTTTTAGAATAATATTTTGAAAGAAGTTAAATTTGATGGATATTACGATGTAGTATTTGGAAATTAATAAAATACCCCATATGTTTGTTTATTTATTAAACACCCCTATAATACAATATTAAAAGTTAACAAAAACACCCCCAACCCACCCATTAAATACGGACAGCCGGCCACCACCGCCGCCGGAGGGTTGTCGGAGTCGCCGTATCAGCGCATGACCGGCTGGATCTTGCCAGTCGTGCGCCGATATGACCTTCTTCGGCTAGATCCACCGTGGATCTGATTGGAAAATGTCAGATATGGCCATTGACGGCCAGATCTGGCCGCATTTGGAACGACAGCCAAAGATACGGCCATCATTGACGGCTGGCTACGGCCAAATATTTGGCTATTGATGGCCAAATCTTTGGCCGTAGATCTGGCCTTTTCCGGCCAGATCCATTGTGGATCTAGCAGGAAAAGGCTAGATCAGCCAGATTCAACCGGAGATTCCGACCAGCTTTCGACAGTAGTGATCGGAATCCGGTAAATGTGGGTTGTTGGGGTGTTTTTACAATTTCTTAAAAAAATTTGGGGATGTCTAATTAAATTAATAAATTTAAGGGGGTTTAAAAGAAATTAAATAATATAGAATAATATTTTGTGAATAAGCCAATTTTACTGTTTAACTTTATTAGGAAAATGCAGAATAATATTTAGAAGAGTGTATCAAACAGAGCCTTTAGTTTCCTTGAAGTTTATTTTTATTTCTTGCTTTAATATTTTCACCTCTAAAATTATAAAACCAGGCCTATTGATACGTTTAGGGAGAAGAATTTGCTTAAAATAACAAGGCTCCATTTGATACACTCTTCCAAATATTATTCTGTATTTTTCCAATAAAGTTAAACAGTTAAATTGACTTATTCACAAAATATTATTCTATATTATTCAATTTCTTTTAAACCCTCCTAAATTTATTAATTTAACTAAACACCCCCAAAATATTTTCTAGAAATTGCAAAAACACCCCACATTTACCAGATTCCGTCGAAAGCTAGCCAGAATTTGGTATAATGGCGCACTACCGACTGAATTTGGTCGATAGTACACCGATCTAGCCTTTTCTGGCCAGATCCATAGTGGATCTGACCGTCAACGGCCAGATCTTTGCCATAGCCAATCGTCAACAACGATCGTATCTTTGGCAGTCATTAACAACCAAATGCGGCTAAATCTGGCCGTCAACGGTTAGATCTAGCCATAGATCTAGCCTTTTTCGGCCAGATTCACGGTGGATCTGGCCAAAAAATATCATATCGACACACGACCAACAAGATCCAACCGATTATGCACCGATATGGCGACTCCGACCACCCTTCAACGACGGTAGCCGGTTGTCCGTATTTAATAGGTGGGTTGAGGATGTTTTTGTTAACTTTTAATATTTTATTATAGAGGTGTTTAGTAAATAAACAAACGCATGAGGTATTTTTGTTAATTTCCAAATCCTACATTGTAATACTCATCCAATTTAACTTTTTTTCAAAATATTATTCTAAAAAGTATCAGAATAATAAACCAAACGGACCCCAAATTTATTAAAAAATGAACTACCTAAATTAGATTGGAATGTAATCAAATTCTCTTGTAATTAACCAATGAAAGTTTTATGAAAATTATTAAATGCCATTTACTCGAAGGTTGTTGGTGTAAAAATACGGTTTAATAAGTGATCTACCTGATGATGCATTGTGTTGTCCAGGAAGTACAACATCATGCCAGGAGCAAAATTTAAATAAAGCAATTGGTGATATTGATATATAACAACTATCCCTCTTATTCACTTATGTTTAATTTGAAAGCAAATCATTCCATTGTGTGACTGGTTCTGATGTTTCCTTAAAATGCAGAACTGAGGACATTCAAAAGGCTACAGCAATGAAGCACTAACTTATCAATGGCAGAAACTTCATTTAGGACATTGAAAGAAAGAAAATTGATGCTGACGAAACAAGTTCTCTCAGTGTCAGGTTTTCACATTTCCTCAATGAGTCCATCGATATAGATTTCTTTTATTCTCTTTTTCAGAAATGGAACTCTTAAGATACCATTCATGTGCAATCTTTTCTTAGACAAGTTTACTGAAAAGAACTTTTGATTAGCATACGTAAATGGGATTTCTTCAACAAATTAGGTGGAAAGCTCGCAAAGCAAATGTTAAAACCTGATATTGACAAACTTGTTTCAGTAGCCAAATTTTCTGTTTCTTACAAGGTCCCCAATGAAATTTATACCATTGATAATTTGGTGCCGATTTGAATGCTTTCACCTCAAGCGTTTCGTCTGGTAATCAGTAATAGAACTTCTAATTCCACAATGGAATGATTTGCTCTCAAATAACCATCAATAAATGAAGAAAAACATAGAGCATTTAGAGCAGGTATAAGTAACGATGCTATAGTTTGTTATCTATTACCAATTTCCTCGATTAAGTTTCGCCATCTAGCATGCTCATTCCATGATTTGTACTTTCTTGTCACCACAATGCATCATCGGATATGCATTGGATAATGTCTATCATCTATGGCAATTTATTTTCAAGAAAGACACATTGCAAGAAGGAAATAGAAATATAGACCTAAGGAAGCTCACCAAGCATGCAAATGTGAAAAACTAGACATTGAGCACTTGAGCGCCAATGAAGTTCCAGCCATCCACCCAATTGAATTTGGTCCTGCATAGCTTTGGCCTTCGGTATTTTCTCTGCTTGGTAAAGGAGTTTTAAATTCTTGGCATAGCTAGCATGAGTAGCAAATGAATTCTGGATATTAAAATTTAAAAGAAGCATAACAGTCAAACAATTCTCTATCCACTCTCAGATTGGAACATGAATAAATGAAGAAATAAAACAGATCAGTGACTGAGAATAACTAACCGACTTAATCTGAGCAGCAGGCAGCCCATTTGAATCCTTTACAGAAAATTCTCAGCCAATATACCTCACTAGGAAATCCATTCTGCATATGAAGAAACACAACATAACCAGGTAAAACTTTCTGAGATAAGCTTTTAATTGAACACACAATAAATGGAAGAATTGGGAGAGGTTACCAAGCATAACTAATTAATTTGATGTTCCAGGCAGATACACTATTTGACTCATTTCTGATAACTTCCTGATACTATTCTCCATGATACCCAATTTGTTTCATCACCATCATTTTTTCTTTCTTACAATGTCCTCAATGAAGTTTCTGTCATTGATAAGTTAGTACTTGATTGCTGTAGCCTTTTGAATTTCCTCAGCTAATCAGTAACAATATTTCTAAATACTAGCCTCACTAGCATGACTAACAATTATTGAATCAGTTCTGCAGTTTAAGGAAACAACAGAACCAGTCACACAGTGGAATGATTTGCTTTAAAATTAAACATCAGTGAATGAAGAAAAATATTGAGCATTGAGAGATTATAAGTAACCATTTGAGTCCAATGATCAATTTATCAGTAGGCGTCATCCACAATGAAAGATTGTAACTTCTTTTTCCTTCCTCTGTGAAGAGAAAGTAAATAACTAAATAAAAAACAATTATGGTATCTCAACAACTGAAAGTGCATAAGAGGGATAGTGTATGTAAATCATGCTATACTTGTTATATATCACCAATTTCTTTAATTAAATTTTGCTTCTGGCATGCTCCTAACATGATGTTGGACTTCCTGGTCAACACAATGCATCACTGGATGATCACTTAACACGGAAAGCAAACTGTGACATGAAAAAGAAACTATTATATTGAATCACAGATGACAGTAATGATATTCTATATGCCGTGGATAGATCCTTTCACCAATTACAAGTTCTTTTCAGCAACATTGTCAAAAACCAAAAAAAAAAAAAAAATGGCCTAGTGTCAATAACAACATATTTTTTCAAGATAGTCAAAAACAAGAAGGAAATACAATTATAGATTTGAGGAAGCTCACCGAGCAAATGTGAAACCTAGACACTGAGCGCTAGAGTATTTTCTCTGCTGATTGGTAACAGAGCTTTTAAATTCTCAGCATAGCTAGAATGAGTAGCAAATGAATTCTGCATATTAAGAAAAAATCATAACCAGTCAAACAGTTGTATGATATGCTTTCTGATTGGAACATAAAGAATAAAGAAAGAACAGAGCGCAGTGACCAAAGCATAGCTAACCAATTTGACTTGCTGGTTAGGCACGCCAATCAAATCCTTTCCAGTAAATTTCCAGTATAGTTAGCCTTAGAAGCAAATCAATTCAGCATATGAGGAACACAACACAACATAACCAGTCAAAATTTTCTGCAATATGCTTTGCCATTAAACATAAATAAATAACACTCATCTTTTCTGATCTTGTTAATTTTGACCATTCTATTTCATGGTTAAAGAGAGGTTTTACTAATATTTCCTAAAACATCAAGGAAGGTGAGAGATAATAAATCTTATAAGGATTTATGTTTGTTGAGTATCATAACAAATTGCCTTTGCGTGTGTGCTCATAAGTCTTCTTTCTGCCTGCAAAGTGTTTGTATTGTGTAAAAGGTAAGAGAGTTTAAATGGTTCAAGTTAGCAAGTGACGATCTTCCTCACTCTCTGCCCTCATTATAATCACAATTTAGCTTATCAAATTCAAACCCATCTTCAGCCATATACAGTTCTCATGATATAGTAGTATTTTATTCTCAAAACACCTCTGTCTGAATTAGATAGGATCAGAATCCTCTCCTAATCTGAGCTTTAATCCTGCGTAAATATAGACTTGCGATCGGTACTTCTATGGCAGCTTTGTCTCTTGAAGGGAGTTTTCATCAATCTAACTCTCGTGGAACCGCTCGGTCTCACACTCATCGAGGTATATCTCTGTGTTCTATTCTCAAATGTTGTATTGACTGAATCCTTCAATTCTTAGCAACATTCTGAATCTTATAAAAGGAGCACTTGACAGACCTGAAAAAATTCTGAAGCATTTTAAACATTTAAGCCTAAATATATCAAAAAAATCTTAATATATCAAATCTTGCAGGCAGCTGCCTATGATCTTCGTATTGTTGCCACAAAGAACGGGGCACCTGTGGACATTGTGAAGGTTCCAAATTTCTCATCCTTTATAAAAAGTTGTGGTAGACGAAATGCATGCCTAGACTAAAATTATGCAGAATTCAAAAATACCTCATCTTATAACACTCCAAACTATGAAATCATGACAGAAATAGCTTTGATGGGAAATTTTGGCCACCTAATTAATTAATCATAGTATCACCTTATGACTCAGACTGATAGTAACAGAGGACTCTGTTTTACCAGGCGTTTAACAATGGTCTCCTAATTGACCCGCATGATCAGAAAGCCATAGCAGATGCCCTCCTAAAGCTGGTTGCTGACAAAGACATGTGGTCTGATTGTCGAAAAAATGGACTCAAGAAAATCCACCACTTTTCATGGACAGAACACTGCCGTAACTACCTCTCACATGTAGATCACTGCAGGAACCGTCACCCAACCACACGTCTTGAGATCATGAAAGTTCCTGAAGAACAAATGAGTGACTCTCTAAAGGATGTGGAAGATCTTTCTTTAAAGGTCTCCATAGAAGGAGACTTCAAGCTTAATGGGGAGCTTGACGCAGCAACGCGACAGAAAAAACTCATTGAAGCCATCATCCAAAAGGCTTCCTTCAATGGCAGTGCCAGTGTCACTCACAGTCCTGGTAGAAGGCAGACACTCTTTGTAATAGCTGCCGATTGCTATGACAGCAATGGCAATATCACAGAGAAGTTTCAAACAACAATCAAGAATGTGATGAAAGCAGCAGGATTGAGTATAGGCTTGGGCAAAGTAGGCTTCATATTGGTAACCGGTTCAAGTTTACAGGAGACTATGGAAGCAATCAAAAGCTGCCCAGTAAATATAGAAGATTTTGATGCAATAATATGTAACAGTGGAAGTGAACTATATTACCCATGGAGAGATAATGTGGCTGATTTGGACTATGAAGCCCATGTAGAATACAAATGGCCTGGTGAGAATGTGAGATCAATGGTGATTAGGCTTGCGAGGACAGAAGCTGGAGATGAGGATGATGACATTGCAGAGTACGTGGATGCATGCAGTTCCAGATGCTACTCTTACAGCATAAAACCAGGGGCCAAGGTAAGATTTTTATGACAATGTTCAAAAATACTGATATAAATTGTAGGTAATACCTTGACAGATGCATTTTTTGGTCAAAAAACTAAAGACGAATTTAACATACAAATGGCAGACTCGAAGAGTAGATGACCTTCGCCAAAGGCTGCGGATGAGAGGATTCCGATGCAACCTTGTCTACACACATGCAGCATCAAGGTTAAACGTGGTACCAGTATTTGCAAGCTCTAAGGTTAGACCTCTTTTCACTGCATATCATATATTGTACACAATCATCCAAGAAGATCTAGATCAATCAGTTGTAGTAAAGTGAAACTTGAAATCTCCGGTACATTTATGTTGCTACCATATGCCGTGCAGGTATTTATCAATTAGGTGGGGAATTGATCTTTCAAAAACAGTAGTGTTTGTGGTGACACAGGAGACATAGACTATGAAAACCTGCTGGCTGGCCTCCAAAAGACTGTAATTGTAAGAGGTACCATGGACTGTGGCAGTGAGAAGCTTCTTCATGGTGAAGAGAGTTCTAAAAGAGAAGATTCAGTTCCACAAGACAGCCCTAACATTGCCCTTGTGGAGGGAAGTTATGAAGCCCAGGATATCTCTGCGGCTCTGAAGGTTCTTGAGATCAAATGATTATGATCTTTAATATATTTTCCTTTAAGTGCTTACATTCTCATCGTTAATGCCACATATACAAGAATATACATCTCAACTTGTGAGATATTTCAATTGTACAAGTACAATAGAATATTAAACATAGAATACTATGGAATGTAAATTTGTGTATATGGCATAATTTCCTTACTAAAGTCTTAAAAACAATCTGAAATAATATTTCGGAATTATAAGCAAAAGATGTCATAATCCCTCACATTATAAGTTCTAAGGATCAATTACTAGTTTCGTTTCGCATTTGATTACCTGTCAACTAAAGTCTTAGAATACTATGGAATGTAAATTTGTGTACATGGCATAATTTCCTTACTAAAGTCTTAAAAACAATCTGAAATAATATTTCAGAATTATAAGCAAAAGATGTCATAATCCCTTCACATTATAAGTTCTAAGGATCAATTACTAGTTTCATTTCGCATTTGATTACCTGTCAACTACAAATTTGTTTCTTCAGCCTTTTGAGTTGTCTAAGTTTCATTGCTATTATACTTTTATAAGATTAAAGATTCACTTCCACCTTGTATTCCTCTCCACAATCACAGTTCAGCACATAGGAAAGTCCCTGTAATAAGCAGAAGCATCAATTAGAATATGATAGTATGATATAGAAAAAGTAATCACACGTTTACTAGAATTCGGAATGACTTTTAGTAACTAGAAGGCATAAACTTTCCCAACTGTAATTGAGTTTCACAACCATGAGCAACAAAACCCCACTGTATTAAGAGTTTCATTTTTAGCCACCAAATGAGGACCTTTTCTTCTTAAACCTTGCTTTGGTCAAAAACCAAAGGCCATTTCAGGTTTTGATCAAGTAAACCCTACAATGCTTAGTTTATGTATGATAAAGAAAAAACTACCAACTGTATTCACCTTGACTTGCTCAATTTGGTCCTTTAGGCATTCCCAAAACTCGGATTCTCCAACCTTATCTGATAGAAGAGCTGTGTGGTCCTCTTCCAAGGTCTTTATATCCATTGCCAACATCTCTGCCTATAGTTACCCATATTTAAAATAAGATGCCAATAATTAGTTTCTACATACGAGTACATGAAATAGAAAACTAGGAGCCACCACTCACGACTCAACTACTATCCAAAAGATATGGACGTTGAACAATATTTCTATTGGGCAACCCAATCTCTCCGCAAAGAAAACATTATATTCGGGCAATAGTTGATTTCATTCTATAGTGATAATCTATGCACAAGCCTGAGGGCAATCACATGAAAACATTTACATGATACTGGGTAGAGAACTAACCTTCAATTTGTTTGCCCTGCACTTCACTTGCTCAAAGGAATCGTTCATCTAAAAACACGTCCAAGATTAACGAATGAATATAAGGGATTGATAAAATTAAAAACAACAACATACAAGCAGTTTCTTGTGAAGAATTAGATCCACTTGACTAGGAACGAAATGTATTGATACAGTCACATGTAAGTCTTACACCACTGGGAAAAGCAAAAAACATTTAAGCTTCAAAAGAAATTTGCCCAATAAGGAAGGTAAACCGAAATGCAAAAACAGTCAAAACATTAATTCAAGAAGCACTTTCATCCACTCTCAAGACAATTAGTTTTAGGAACCTAAACTTATAAACAAATTCAATCCAAGATAATCAAGTGACTTACGTTAGCGTCACAAATTTTAAATTGAATTTACTCAATGAACATCAATGTTTTACATGCTACACTTGGAATGCATACTTTGATATAAAGTCAGACAAATAAGAAAAACAGCTTTTCACTTGATGAAATACATTACAAATGATGAATGGAAATAAAAAATGTAACTTTTGGCATTAACCAAGACTGGAGACAAAAATTTAGCGAATTGAAATTAAATCGAAGCAATAAACTCTTTCTACACATATAAACTACAAGATTAAGTAACCCAAGCCCCAATTGGGAATTAGTCTCATACCTTCAGGTGTGGGGACATCTCGAGGCTTTCACCCCAAAAAAAAAAAAAAGTTACTGAAACCAAGACATGGTCTATCTACCAAATAGGAAAAGACATATACATTCAGTTAGAATCTTGCTTAAATAACCTTTTTGTTCTCCTGAACAGGTTTTAATGTCTTCTGTGCAATTTCGTCAAGCTTGTATTCAGCAAAAACCAAATTGGCCATCAGGGTCTTCCTAGCTTCACTCCTCTGTTATCCCGAAAATTAATTAGAAAATTGCAACACTGTATATCTAATGATATCAATAAAAGTTATTTACCTTATTGTCCATGAAGTTATTGTTATCAATGCTGCACTTCCCTATAGGAAAAGTTAAATAAGATGAAAGAATAATATTGTTTCTGATTTATAAATTTTAGACATCAATGACTACAATCAGGTCAGAGTTATCAGTTTAAATAGACCACCACTCATCATAAGAACATCTTGCAATTTTGAGTTAGCTCTTTGTGATGAAGTTCTGTAAACAAGACATGATCTTCCCTTATTTCTCTTCTTTTCTCTTTCTCATGTATGTCACAACTCGTACCACATATATAAGATTTTGAGCTTAGAAATCATATGAACCTTCCCTCTCTATAATGCACGCCTACATTTTGTTGTACAGCTACAAAGTTCTAAGGCAAGGCCCTTTTAAATAAACATTGTTCTCTAAAAGCCTACATTTTCAGTAAAAGGTCCTCAACAGACATCCCCTATGACTCATGGAACAGAAAAGTCTTGCCCCTTAACTATGAACAAACCTCCCTAGCTGTCCCTACCACTGGTAGTTCAGATCGTTCATTAAGGGATGTTTGATGACCTTTGCAAAAATAAGGAAAAGCATGATAATAACCAAAGTTTCTGGCTAGAATTTAAGCCTGCTGATTGAAATTGAGGCATAAGTAATGCAAAGGTCTTTCCAAAATATTCGCTTACTGTAAGCAACCTGCAAACAATTGTAATATTAACATTCACCTTCTGGATTAAGAAAAATTTTGGTATATTGGTATACAAATATTCAATATCAAAAGCGTTTATCATTGGACTTGTTTTAACATTGTAAAATTTCGAGGTAGACAAACAATTAGGAATGAGGGAAAATGCACCTGCATAAAGCGTGTATCTGCCTATGAGTGTTAATAAAAAACTAAAAGTCATCAATAACTTAACATTTGCTCAGGAAAATTGTATCAAATCCCAAATCACCAGTTCATGGTTAAAGCCAGCTTCTTCCTTAAAATCAAGTACCTTCAGTTTCAGCCATTTGCTCATCACTTATACCCTCGACCCGAATGATTTCTAATCATTATAATCGCACAAATTTAATAATCTTAAAAGTTTTATCTATACGCTATAGTGAAAAGTAGAATAGATGATAGCAACACAGAAGAAACCATAAAACCCTATCACAGTTACATGATTATGAATTTGCAATTAAAATTGAAATTGCATTGCAACAAAAATACATCAAGAGGTTGAAGACAATAGCAAGATCTAACTATCTTTAGTACACTAGAAATACAACATCAGGTTGGATGTTGTGCCAACCCTTAAGCATACAAGAGACTACATAAACAGAAGGGATTTCTAAATTACGACAAATTGATCATGCATATATATACAGGCTCACTTCCTCTGTGGTTTTTTTTTTTTTTTTTTTCTTTCTTGGGCAGGAAAGAGACATGCATTAAAGAGAGGTGTATCTTTAAGGATGTGTGTCTACTACCACATCTTCAACCGTGAGACGTTATTCCCAAACCCATCATCACCACTCAAGCAATTCCAATTATCAAGGAAGTGGTATAATCCGAATAAGAAGCTGCTAGAGCAATATAGAAAGATATTCAACAAGCAAAACTGAAGACCTTTGTTACCTTCAGCTGGTCAGTGAAAACACGTTGGATCCTAAAGACTAGATGCACGATTAATTAATCATAAACATGGGGAGTCAATATCTTCATTCCTTCCGTCTCTCTCTATTTGGAGCACATACATTTATCATGAAGAGACATTAAAAAAAAGGTAAATCAATGAACTTAACAAAAGATTTAGCGAATGAATACCGGTTTATGCTCAGTCATTTCTCTAGTCCTGTCAAATTCGAACCAGTCCTACATAAAATATGAATGAGACAATCAACTGCAATTTAAATTTTTGAAAATAGAACAGTGGATTCAGATGAAGAGGCTCATGAAATATAACCTGTCGTTTCTATAGTTTTAACTTGGTATCCTCTGCAACTTGAGTATAGTCAGCTCTGTTGTAGTTAAGAAATTATGGCAATAACTGTCCATAGCATTCAGTGAACTTAACCAATGCAATATATTCTTAAATATTACTTCTTCACTGCTAGTTTTTTAGATGAGCTAACTCTTTCTTGTTGTATAAGCTCCATTGTCTGCGCATGTAAAAGAACAATGATAAACCAAGAATATACAACCCTGAGATTGAAGAAACTGTTTCTTCAATAATCCATTTCCCATAATAAAGAAGAATACATACAGAAACAGGAATTCCCCATAGTTAGATATTATAGGATTATGGCAAGTTAGGGTAGCGACAAAAACATTATCAGAACATAAGATCTATTCCAGCTAATAAATTATTTTATAGCATACAACATGAAAGATAGTTGTGCAGGAGTTTCTATCAGTATGTCTAGCTCTTCAATTGTATAAAACTTCTAGCCCAAACGTTTTACTGAGCAAGGATGTCAATAAAATATAAGAAAGTGCACCATCCGACAACAGAAGTCTTATCAACTCAGGTTTACTGTGCAGGTGTTCTCGTACTTGAAAGTAAGCTACTCAAGGGTAAAAAAAAAAAAAAGGCAAAAGGAAATGTCCCATAACAGGGATATTGTAGGCTTCCAACTAGAGGGTCAATCCAGCTCCCGCACAAAGACACACAAAAATAGATCTCACCTGGTTAAGGGTGGACGAATCAGACTCCAGAGAAGAAATTTTTCTTTGTTTTGCCAGTATCTGTGCACATATCTGACCCTTTTCCTTGTTCATCTTCTCAGCTTCTTCTCTCAGTAACTTTGTTGATGCAAAAATAGTGGGAAACAGTTCAGCCAATCAAAACAACTACTATAAAGAACTACATCATATATACAATTGTTTCCACAACTGCATAAATGGATTGAACCTACATAAATGTATTAAAATCATCCGAAATATTTAGAGGTAAAAAGGCCTCTGAAAGCAAATTCGATTTTCTAATATCATTAAAAATGCATGAAAAAATTGTCCCAAATTTGCAGTATACACAAAAACTTCAAAATACTAATTAATGGAGATATTAAACTCAAGGTAATCCACATGAACATGCAAAAAGAAAATGATTATTATTAAAGATAAGTTTTTAGAGTGCTTTCAATAGCATCACCTAATTGGCAAAAAGAAACTTTTGCTTATCTACAATAGCACTCTGAAATTCACCCCCAGTTTTCCAAAGCAAAACAAAAGGCAAAAGGTTTTCAAATCACTTAATTTTCTGTTAATGACCATATGAATAAGATTGATGTCAAGGTAGATTACAACTAAAACCCCCAAAATACCTATACTAGACTCTTTTAATTTTCTGTTAAGGCAACGTAACAAAACAACCTAAGGATGCTTTCCGAAGTAACTGTGGTGCAGCTAGAAAAATTTACAGTATTTGATTGAAAGGATAAAAGTCTTTTTGAAATCAAATTTATTTAATAAAAAAATAAAATACACACGCACGCACAGTAACACACAAAGCGTCCTAATTGAAGAACATTTGTAAGTGTTTCTACAAAAAACACTTTTTGGATGAAAAAATAAAACTTTACATTGAGAGTAGTTTCATGAGCTTTTACTCAAACAAAAACTTTTTTCTACAAAGGCCGTCCCAAACACACCTATATACAATTTCAAATAATCAAAAGAACTTTTCATATGAATCTCACAGTATTTGATGCAATGGATAAACCACTGTTTTGAATTTATAAAGAAAAAAAAAAAAAATACTAGGAGTACTGTCCAAAGAAGCACTAGATAAGTGCTTTAGTAGAAACATTCATTTATAAGAAACACATTTTAGTACTTCTCAGACAATCAATCTATCATTCTTGATTAGTTCAACTGATTTCAATACTAATATACATATAAGCACCAGAATTTTCAATTAAGCAAAATAAATTTCAGTTTCCGATTACAAATTAGGATCCTCTCCTAATCTCAATTTCCATGAACTTTCAAAATGTAGTGAGGATTCTTCAATTTCACAAAAACTACCAAACAAATTTAAATTCATTTCTGTAATAATCAGTTTTATTTTCAACAAAAACCCTAATAATTAACAAGGTCATTTTCTATTAATTAACACATTGGTATACACACCACAATTTTAATTAACCTAATAAAATTCAATTTTCAAGTAAATCTTTAGAAAAATACAAACAAACTACATTCCTTATCAGTAATAATCATTTCATATAAGTACGGAATTGGCCAAAAAAACGACTTCGTTTTCAAAAATCTTTTATGATGCTATTAACCTGATACAATTCAATCTTCAATTAAAATATGAATAACTACCAAACAGATTCACATTCATTTCAAACATTAATTTAATTTTCGAACAAAAAAACCATAACTAAACACAGAATTGGCCAGAAGCGAGGCCGTTTCCATTGACTAACACACCTAAATTCATTTCATTCAATTGCGAACTAAACTTAGAAAATCGAGTTCCAATTATATCATAAAAGCACCAAAAAAAATTCACGTTGATTTTCAAACAAAAAAGAAAAAGAAAAAAAACACGCCCGAACAAAATCTAAGTAGAGAATTGACCAGAAACGAGGTCGTTTTCCATGGAGTTAATTATGGTGATCAGCATTTGCTCTTCAACCGTGACCTTCGTGGTCTGATCCTCCACCTCTGTTTCATTAAGTTTGAAAAAAAATACGTTACAATTCGAAGCCGATTTTGAAGCGTGAATGTGAGAGAGAGAGAGAGAGAGAGAGAGAGAGAGAGAGATAAAGAGATGTGAACCGTTCATTTGATGGCGTAAAGTCTTCATGTACTGTAAGCACTCCTCCATCGTCTCGATCGTCTTGCTGTAAATTGTAGATTCGGAGATATTAAACGAGAGAGACCGTTAGGTCTTTGAAATTGAAATGTGAATGTCGATTCAAATTTGTTGGAAGGGAGGGAGGGCTACTGTAGCTATACTCCGGTTGTGTGTATCATAAGTCAGTGGTCTTTTATTGTATATATATTTTTTTTAATTCGAAAAAAAAAATAAAAAAATAGGAGAACAATTTACAAGTTAACGGTCTTTTTTTTCCAGTTTTTTATATTTCAATTTGAACAAAATTAAGATACGAGAAACAATTTATTTACAAGTTAATGGTCTTTTTATTTTTTTATTTTTATTTAAACAATTTACAAGTTCTAAGTAGGCTTGCAAACGAATCGAACACGAATGAACACCTTATTCGATAAACACAAAAGTGTGTTCAAAATCATGTTCGAACTCGAACGAACACAGAATGACTGTTCCAGTTCGTTCGATTAACCAAACGAACAGTTCGTGATCGTTCGAATAACTTGTAAATATATGTTCGAATAACTTAGGGTTGTTTCAGTTCGTTCGATTAACCAAATTAGGGCTATGATTGAATTGGATTTGGATTTTGGGTTGGGTAAGGAAAAATGTGGAATTGGATTTGGATTTTTGTTTTAAAATTTTGGCTGGACAGGTTAATTTGTTGGTTATTGGGTTATATATATATATATATATATATATATATAATGTGCAATTGTGTATATACAAAATTATTATCATATATATATTAATTATAAATTAAATATGTTTAATATGTTATTAAATTACCAAAATTATAGGTTATCATATATTTATTATCATTACATAAATTATCATAAATATTTTAAATGTTTACATATATATTTTGTATCAACACCCATAAATTCATAGTGAAATGAGGGTCTATTATAATATATGATCAATACATATGTGTGATTAATTTGTTATATATAATGTGTAATTGTGTATATACAAAATTATTATCATACATATATTAATTATAGATTAAATATGTTAAATATATTATTAAATTATCAAAATTATAGGTTATTATATATTAATATTATTATTATTATTACTGTCTACATATATATTTTGTATCAACACCTATAAATTAATAGTGGTATGAGGGTCTATTGTAATAAATTATCAATATAAATATATCATTAATTTAAGTTTAATTAAGCTATTGTGTTATTATATCACTTGATTATACAATATGTTATGTTCATAAATTTGTCATACTATATTTAATTGAGCTATTATATTATTGAATTTGTAATGTATATATCACTTGATTATACAATATATTATGTTCATCAATTTACCTTATTATATTTAATTAAGCTATTATGTTATTAAATTTGTCATGCTATATATCACTTGATTATACAATATATTATGTTCATCAATTTACCATATTATATTTATTATTTACTAATTGAAATGTTATCTTATAATATTTAATTATTGATTACATTTGGAAAAATATGAAACTATTATGTTATTAGATTTGCTATGTTATATATCACTTGATTATACAATCTATTATATTATTAAATTTGTCGTGTTATGTATCATAATAATTTATTATATTTTAATTACTATATATTTAATTATTGATGACATTTGAAAAAAAAAAAAATCCAAATATATTACAGTAGAACCTCTCTATAATAATATTCTATATAAGAATAATCTCCGTATAGTTGTAAAAAATTATGGTCCCAACTTGAACAAGTTATAAATAAGAATAAATTTCACATTGTGATAAGTTATAATTTTCCAAAGTCTCTTCTTAAGGAACTTGTATCTACATAGTAATAATTATATGTATATTGCAAACAAAGCATATGCTATGTTACATTAAAGGTTTAAGATGAAATAAAATATTTATCTAAAGTTATGTTGGGATAGTGATTTATGTTTGAGAATTGTTACCACATCTTTTATCTAAAGTTATGTTGAGACAGTGATTTATATTTTAGAATTGTTGTCACATCTTTTATCTTGTGAGTGCGTAATAAGTTGCTAGCATAGATACCTTCTTGTTGAAGCAAAAATATTTCTAGCTTCTCAAGTATGTTTAGAGTTTCTTGACATTAAACTTTTGGTATTTTCATACTATCATCCTCAAAATTATCTCCTTCCTCTTCTTGTCTAATTCCAATGATAATTTCTTCTTCAATTAAAGTATACATGGCTTGTTACTCATTTGGATAAATGAGAAAGACATTAATATCAATTTCATTAGTGTAGTGAAGTTGTCGAATTTATTCACTCAATTCATTTGTACTCCTGAAACATGAATTATAAAATAAGAAATCAAAACAATAATTCTTGTAATTATACCTCTATTAAATTATAACCTCCTTATAATAATAAATTTAATTGGTCCCAACATTATGACTATAAAGAAGTTCTATGATATATATATAAGAAAAACAAAAGCATCATGATATTTTATTATTGATTACCATTAAAAAAAATTCATCCGAACTAAACCAAACATAATATAAAAAAGAAAAAAAAAATATAAATATATATAATGATGTATACCATGTTTTTCGAACATGAACGAACGAATAATCGAACAGATTGTTCGCGAACGGATGGATCAGTCGAAAGCAGTATGTTCACGAATATAATCGAACGAACATCCTATGTTCGAACTCAAATCGAATATATTATCAAACGAACATCGAACTGTTCGTGAACAGTTTGTTATCGAGTCGAATAGAACAGTTATCAAACGAACATCGAGTTGTTCGTGAACATATCGATTCGTTTGCAACCCTAGTTCTAAGTCTTTTTTTTAAGACGATATTAACCCTGAAGATATAATACAATAACAAAAATCTCTTGAATTTTATAAATAATAGAAATTCCTCACTTTTAATAACTGTTAATGAACGTTAAAATTTATACTATTATAAGTTAGTAAATATTATCAAATTATCCTCCTATTATTTATTTTAACACCTAAAATTTAACGAAAAAATTATTCCTATTATTTCTGAAAACTTAGAAGAATTTTGTCATTATCTATACCTCTGGGGATAAATTCGTTACTCTATGAAAAAAAAAAATTGCTTGATTTTTTATATTCTATCTTTTAATTTAGAAAAAAAATGAAATACCATAAAAAAAATTAAAATAATATGAGAAATAATTTGTTATTGGCTTGTTTCTAGATATGGGCGTTTGGCCCGCCCGGTCGGGACCTGTCCCGAACAGGGCGAAGAGTCCTTGAAATAGTTGGGGATTGGACCGCGGCCGGGACCAAGAAAATTTCTCGACCCCGAGGACAAAGGTAGGCTTGGCCCTAACCGACCCATTACTTAAAATATATTCATATATATAAGGATGATATATGTAATCCAAATAATATTGATTTACCACAAGTTTTACCCTATCTTAATTGTTTAAAATCATAGTTCTAATTTTTAAAAATCACAATTTAAGTTCACTATTCTAAAAATATATATATCGATATTAAATTTCATTAATTATTGTATAAAAGATAAAATAGCTCTACATAAACACGAAATAAAGTAATTAAAGGTCAATTTAGAATATTAACTTAAATATTTGATACAAATTTAATCTATCTTAATATAATGGTAGAAGTTATATATTTTTAATGTCGTCGATACATCATATTTTAAACACTAATTTTTTATGCGTATGAAAAAAAAAATGTCAAGTGAATTGAGTGGCATTATTTTCACAGTTACAAAAATTTATTAGAGACCACCTCTAACACTCACTATGTATTGTTTCTTTGCCATAATTATAATAAAAAGACAAAATTACTCTTTACCAATCAATTTATAAATAAAAATGATACAAATGGATTTTCATTTTGGTCCATCTATGTAATCATAAGTAGGTTTAGCATCCACAAATTATTATGACACAATACATATGAAAGCAAAAAAGGATAAATTAAACTATAAGTTATATAATAATCAACAATAAAAGACTCATGTAATAAATAAATGAAGAGTTCTTATACGAATTGTACGGTCAAATATTATATGTATGTATAATGATTGTGTGTGTGTATGTATGATGGTTGTGAGGACAATCGTACAACTATATAATATTTGATTTTACACCACATTAAATGTATTTATAATAAGTGGAGTAATCTTGTTTAGTTACTTAATATATATAATCTCTTTATATATATATACATACACCAAGGGATCACAGGATCGTTGTACACAAAGAGGAGATACGTAGAGATTAAATAAAAACTTAAATAAACATTAACTTAAATAATCTTACAACTTAATAAGATAACGGCGGCAAAACCACACTAAAATCATATTAAAAAGTAAGATTAATTCTTAACCAGGTAACGGCGGCAATGCCGCATTGGAACCAGGTTAAGTGATGAGCAAAAATTTAAAGAAATTAAAAACACAAATAAAACTTTAAATAAAATTTAAGTAAACATTAAAATCAGACATGATGAATGATGAATGATTATAGAGAATAATTAAAGAACTGAAAGATTAAACATTAAAAGATTATTGAAAGATTTAAGGAAATTGAACTTACGAAAAAAGCTTTATTTTTGGAGAGCTTTGAGAGGTTCACATGAAAAGAGAGTGAGGGAGGAGAAAGTTTCAGAATTGGCTTTCTAAAAGCTTGGTTTACATTGCACGAGTTTTTTCAATTTATAGGAATCTTATCTTACTATAACCTCACATGAATACTATTGGATATTTTCATTTTCATTTTTTTTAAAGAACATTAATGTCTCTTTTTACAGGGAATCTCTGACGCTTCATTATTATGCCAGATATTCTCTGATTCGGATGTCGCTTCTTTGGCTTGTCTTCTTTTTTAGAGAAGAGGTAATTTTGAACTGTTTGGAATAACTTAGATGATACCATAATAGTCATCTTCATTGCTCTGGGCAAGATTGACCGAGGCATCGGAGCTTCGGTTAGATTCTTCTTCTTCTTCTCGGAGTTGTGAAAGAATAGTCTTGAGGTGGTCTTTAAGTTTTTGTTTTGTTTGGGCTCCTGCTAAGGATACTGATGTCATAGTCTTTTTCTGTAAAAAATTGGTGATTTCAACGGTAATGGCCTGGGTTTGATGAGATGAACTTA